ACTCTTCACTCTGACTGTCTGGATTTGAAATCAGACTCTGCCACATACTGTGTGTGATTTTAGGCAGGCTAGTTCATTCTTCCATGCCTCAATCTGCTCATCTGAAAGTGGAGATTGTGATACTCTCAGAGGGTTATTGTGAGGATCAATGGAGTTAATTTACATAAAGAGTTTGGAACAATGCCTGCCACATAATACTTTGTGTTAGCAATTTCCCTTGTTTTCCTTTTCTTCTTATTTTTAATTGTAGTAAAGGTTTCACCTGTCTCCTCTGTGAAGACAGGAAGTAGCTGTTTCTTATCTACCATTTAATCTTTAGGACCTAGTGTAGTACTTGATGCATATAAATTAGGTGTTCTCCAGTTGCTTGGAGGATGAATAAATGAAGGGTCAATTAGGAGGCTCCAGCCCAGCTGCCTTTCCTTCTGCAATAATGGAACACACTTATTTGAAATGCTAGCTGTGATTAAATATTAAATACTGCAGGATGGATCAAAAAGTCCCATTCATGACTATCATTTATCATAAATGTTTATCTTTTCATTGATAGGGTTATATATTATAAGGGCCTTTAAAAAATACAGCTGAGTGATATCATGAGTTTCTTTCAAAACACCTCTCATTTTCTCAAGGATGACATTTTAAACAGCAATGCCAGATGCAATGTTCTCTCACACAAGTACAGAGTAATTCATTAACATACATACGAAAGGAAGAAGTCTACATTCAACCTTTACCACCAAAATCTTTGAGAAATAAAAGAAATTCAAAGTACCTACAAGTGATTTTAGAAGTCAAACTAGTTTTCATCTAGAATGCCAGGATGATAACAGAAGACTTTGGTGACTAGACACCTGCTAAATTTGTTTTAGGGTAGAGTTTTGGTTGAGGAAGAAAGAGATAATTAAATTACAATCTGCCTGAGTATTTGAAAGGACAGATTATATGACAGCAGCTGAGAGACATTTGTAATCAAATAATTCAAAATATGCTTTAGCTAAGTCCAGAAAGTGAATGCCTTTTCTAAGTTGCATAGCTGGTTAAAGACATACTTGATTTAGGAGCATATTTCACAATAGGTAGTTTTTATACACAGGCCACATTTCAGGATAGTTTCATGTTGAGACGATTCATGATAAAGCAGAGTGTTATAGTCTGTGTCTAAAATAAACTCAAAGTGTGTTTTTGGATTCCTGAATACCAGGATAAAAGTGAAAAACAAAAGCCATCAATTACCTAGAGGTACAACACTGCAGCGTCTCTGCCATGGACAGGGTAGATTCTGAAAGGCTGTTCATAAGGCCGTTTGTTCTGAAGGTCAAAGTGACACTATTCAACGGACTGCCAACTGACAGGAAGCAAGGGAATTGATACATTTTTATTTTGATGCATAGCTTGTTCTTATGTACGGGAGTTCATAAGAGTGGGGGTCTGGATCCATTTTTTCTATCAGTAAGTAGATCGACTATCTCATATTGTGTTTAATCTCTGTCTTACACTGGATTCCTTAGAAGCAGGGCCTGAGGCAAGGATTCAAGTGCATATAATTTATTGAGGGGATTCTCTTAGGAGAAAGGCAGGGAAGGAAGAAGGAAAGAGCAAGTAAAGAAGCTAATTAAGAAGGTGTAGAAGTTGTTGTGTAATTTCAGCCTGATCTCATGCAGAGGTTTGGGGCATGAATGCAAAAACGGATATCTGTGGGTATTGATAGCCAGGGGTTGGCATATCACTTGCAAAAGTGGATGTGGACAAGGAAGCATCAGCATCTACTACCAGGCTTATCTGAACCATTCAGTCCTGCAGATATGGTTTATTATTTAGACAATTACTGTGCCAGCAAATGGAATGCAGTAAGAAGGCCCACATGAGCTGTGTGGGCAGTGTTTGAGAGGGACTCAATATTGTGACATGAAGTGCATGAGTTTTCAAGTCTGAAGTCTTCTTTTCTATACATAAGTTCCAACTTTTCTCTAATAATATACTTTAAGAAAGCCCCAATCTCAGTGAGCCTCAGGCTTCTTAACTATAAAATGGGACAATGATAGCAACTGCCTCCTATAACTGCTGTCCAATTCAAGTGAAATAACATATGTCAAAGCACATGCATTATATTTGACATGAAAACAAGACACTGGTCTAGAGAAAGTTTTAAAATATAAACTAGAAGAGTTTTCTATAAGAAACTAAAATGATTTGAAATATATGGACATTTGTCCAACTTGAGAGAGGTAATAATAATAAAAGGAAGAATTAGAGCTGTCATTTCCCTAGTGTCCATAATGGATCAGGGATTTGACGTTAATTTCCTCAGTTAATCCTTGTCATATGTGGTTGGTTGATACTGCTGTATTCTCATTGTGTAGATTTCTTTCTTTTTTTTTTTTTTTTTTTTAATGAGAGGGAGTTTCGCTCTTGTTACCCAGGCTGGAGTGCAATGGCGCGATCTCGGCTCACCGCAACCTCCGCCTCCTGGGTTCAGGCAATTCTCCTGCCTCAGCCTCCTGAGTAGCTGGGATTATAGGCACGCACCACCATGCCCAGCTAATTTTTGTATTTTTAGTAGAGACGGGGTTTCACCATGTTGACCAGGATGGTCTCGATCTCTTGACCTCGTGATCCACCCGCCTCGGCCTCCCAAAGTGCTGGGATTACAGGCTTGAGCCACCGCGCCCGGCCAATTGTGTAGATTTCTTAACAGAGGCTTAATGCTGTTAAGAAATGACCTAATTTCATGCTACTAGACATCTGACAAAAAGGGAATTTGAACTCATACCTCTGTGTTTCACAAAATCTCAGCATTTAACTGCTGTGGTTATCCTACAAAAGGCCCTTTCTATCAAAATAGATAGTTAAAAATTTATGAAGGAGGTGGTGAGGAACTACAATTGAGTTGAAGATACAGTTCATGCGCTTTAGGAACTTTCCATTTGGCTGGGGACTTGTATGTATATCCTTTACTTTTTCTGTTTCCACACTGTAGCACATATGTCACTGGATACAGTAAGTATTTTAGACATAACGACATGACACCATGCCTAGGGCGTAAGAGGCAGAATGTAGTGGTTCTTGTTTTTGCAAGTTCTTAGAGCCTAAGATCCTTTAGCTTTGCAGAAGAAAGATTAGTTAATGGATATAGACCATTTACTTTATGCATTAATAGTAATAGAAATGTTCTTAAAGATCAACAGTCATGACCTTCAGCACCAAAACAAAAAATTTTATGATAAGACGGGAAAGTCAATAAGGACAGAAGAATTGATTTCTTCCATTTAGCTAGATGAAAGCATACAATTTCTTCTTAACTGAGAACTTTTTCTTATTTGGCATTGAGAAAATAAGTTTTAACTAGAGAAACTTCTAGTTGCAAGAATTATTTAAAGCAGAAAAAAGATATGATATAAAAATGTAGGACATTTTAAAACATATTTTTTAAATGTACAGAACAAAGAAGAAATATGTTTATATAAAAGAGTGCATTAATTTGAGATGTAGGCATTCAGCTGTTTTCAAGAGTAGATAGAATCATAACTCTAGAGAAACTCGAGGGCATAGCAAATAAGTATGTTATGTGGAGTTTTCTTTACCAAAGAGTCAAATTTATAATTATGGAATCTGATTCATATCAGGTATATATTGTACAGTCATCTCCTATCCAAGCAGGAGAAATAAATAATTACTGTGGCAGAATCATTGAAAGTCTGGAACAATTCTTTATTTCTATAACATAAGTTTCTATGTTATTTTGTTTCCTATCATTTTTCCAGGTGATGATCTTAGCTGAAATGAAGAAATCAAGTGTTATAAATATCTTTATCCTATGTCTCAAAGTAGTCACTGGCCCTTTTCCATCTCCTACTTAGGTTAATAAACTTCCACATTCACTTCTTACTTCGATAGATACAAATACATTCAGATACAATTAGCAATGTATTTATGTGTATATATCTGTATATATGTATATGTGTGTGCATGTGTGTATGTGTGTGTAGTGTGTTTAAAATTAAAAGCAAGGCCATCCCCCAAAGGGTCAGCATAAAGAGAACTGTGTGTAAATCAAGGGATCTCTGGTGTAGAATAATGTTTGGAACACAAGACTTGAAACGAGAAACAGACCTAGTTATTAATTCATGTATCTACCAATGACTGAAGTAGTTTCACAATGTGAGTTTTGGGCATGTATTTATTAATAAAATTTCAGAACAATTAGTTTTTCAAAGCAACAGAGAGTATAGACATTTCCATGAGCCCTGCAGGTGCAGCAGCTCAATTTTTGGCTCCTGGATGGATCCTCTGGGACATAATGGTGCAAAGGGAGAAAAGCAAGCCTTCTACTTTATCCACATCAACAGATATAATTACTCTCAAAAAGGCTTTTGCGGAATTGAATATGAAACATTTCAGTCCCTGGAAACACCATATATAAAGGATATTAGAGGCAGTATGTCTATTGTTCATCTGCTAATGTCCCCAAATGTCACCAAGGTAATTACTTGGATGACATTTATGTGATGCAGCTGGACATTGTTACAGTTAATATAAAGCCTGCCTTTGGCAACCACTTTATTTCCACCTACATCAAACTGTGGGTGCATGATCGCTTTTCTTGGGAGAATACCTACCTCCCCCAAATGACATCTCTGCCCTCAGCTTTTTCTCCCTGTACTGCTGCGAACATTAATAACCAATGCAAAAGAAAAAGAAAAATAATACTATATTATTTATCTTTATCTTAAAATTTAAGTCTGGAACTTTTAGAAATGTTTCTAAAATAATTCGCAAAATATAATAACATTGATCTTTCCTCTGCTTTTTTTTTTTCTCTTTTAGAAACAGGTTTCTATCATACCCAGGAATCTAGATTCACAAAATGAACATTGTCAAAAACCCATAATATGATATTCATTCTCAAATATATGATCAGCAAAGCTAGATTTTAAAATATGTGTATCAGAAGAGTATATTTTCAGAGACACAGATTACTAATTTTACCCCAAACTCACATGCAAATTGGAGCTTTGCCTTCCGACTCAGAATTGTCCCCAGAAGATTGGTGGCCAGGCACTGGTACGTGCCAATAACTTGATCTGTGTGGGGGCTACTGATTGCAAGACTGCCTCCTTCCAACCTGTAGTGATAACTCACGGTAAAATCAATGTCTGTGCCATTTTGCTTCCACCTTCAAGGAAAAAACATAAAGTTATGCTTATAATATATAGAGTCAATCACTCTCTGTCTTAAACAATATGTAGTTCTAATTCCTGCAACTATAAAAGCAGCAAAAAACAAAACATAATTACATGTGGAGATAATCCTACCAGTTTTATCAAAGGTAACTGTTTTGGTGAGCTGGGTGATACCAGTAACTGGATTATTTGAAAGATGTACTCTTTGTATGCTACATTTACCCAAATGAGGAAACAGAACTCTTGATGTGAGAAATAAAAATAAGACAGTCAGTCAATAATACTGGCCACCCTATTCCTTTAGCGACTTTTCAAATAACATATACCTTACCTGAACATCCACAATGGATAGCGCAAAATTGAATGTCAAAATGATTTAAAGATAGGAATTCAAGAAGCATATATTACAAATGGCAAGAATAATTTTACAATGCCAATTCAAGGCTGATAACAAAACAATAATAACCTGACTACTTTAGAACATGATTGCCTCTGTTAGTATGTTACTTGGAAAACTAATCATGTTGAAAATATTTCAATGGTACTTGGGAATGCCAAATTAAAATTGTACTTTAGCAAAACAAATGCTGTTTGAGAAGTTTTTATTTTAAAAAGCAAAAAGTCTCTTGGCTTAGCTATTAGTCAACAATTTTTTAGTACATAAATTAACTAGCTGAAGGGTCTTTAGAGTTATATTTACTTTCAAAGAATCATAATTAGTTTTAGAAATTTCATTTGGTCATTTTTAAGACAAATGAAAACCTGATAATTATCTCTAACCAGACTCACTTTTCCTACCTTGATACTCCCAACTCCATCAAAATCTCCAAATATTTGGAAGCATGAATCTTATATATACTAAAGAGATGCATTCCTAGGACACAGGCTGTGTATAGTCACATAGACCATTTTTTTTTTAAAACAGACACTTAAAAATATTGAATAATGACAACCAGTTGTACATGTAGAAAAATACCTTTTCTCACTCATTGCTAGCATCATGGCTGTCTCAAAAATGAAAGCCAGATTAATAAGAGAAAAACATATAATTTTATTTAATATAAGTTCTTCATGACATGAAAGCCTTCAGAAAAAAAAAAGTCTAAAAAACAGGAAATCCCATGTGTTTTTATGCTAGTTTTGATGAAGAGCAGAAGTATAATTGTAAAAAGAGGGTATGATCTAATGGTAATAAACTGGCGGGAAGTTAGCAAGGTATTTGTTCCAATTCTTTCTGGTTTCTCTGTGTCTTTAAGGAAGAAAACGATGTTTCTTTTCTCTGGGTACAGAAAGGATAACTCTGGAATAAAGCTTTTATGACCTGCTTCAGAGAAGAAGAGTGAGGAGAAGGTGAGAATGATCTTCCTGCTTCTGCTATTTTCTCAAATGCCAAGGCGCCATATTTCGAGCTGGTGTGACCTGAACCCCATCATAGTCATCTAGGAAAACAAGTGAATGATCTTTTCCTATGGAATATAGCCAATTTCCAAACCATGTTTTTTAGGGTTTATACCAGCTTTGCTATGATTCTCTGCTTTACACAAAAATCATATTAAAAATATTTTGGTGGGAGTGTTTTTTTTTTAAAATGACATTTTACAGAATTAATTCAAAGAGGTTGGGTGCAAGGGCTCATGCCTGTAATTCCAGCATTTTGGGTGGTCAAGGTGGGCAGATAGGTGGAAGCCAGGAGTTTGGGACCAGCCTGGGCAACATGGTGAAATCCATTTCTACTAAAAATACAGAATTAATTCAAATGTCATTGACTTCTTCAGGTGCATTTTCAAACATCCTATGGGGATAATCTGGCAAATGCCTACCAATGTAGAAAAGAAATATGAACTTAGGTGATCCTCTATGCTATTAAAGATGTGATGTGATGGATCAGATATCAAATCAATCAAACGTTTTGAAACAACTTTGTTAACTTTTAAATTATTTAGCCATTTCCTGCACACCTGAAAGTTGAAAGACATCAGTCAGAGTGCATTTGATTTGCTTAGATTTTCTTCCATCTTTTTTTTCTAGAGGAATTTGTAAAGGCTGCTCCTTGTTTTCAATATTAGGGTAAGAAAAAAGTAAAAAACAAAATAAAACGCTTCAAAACTTCTCTTTCTTTAGGCCTTTCTCAAGACACCAATATTCTCCTTGCCAGAACTCTAATATAGCTTTTGATAATGTGCTTACAGGGCATGATCTTTAGACGTCCATGTTCGCTATCATTTTCAAAGCAAAGGATATACCATACTTAGTTTGCCAGCTCTTTTTAATTTTGGAATCAATCACTGAAATAACTGCTGTCATCATTACATGCTCCTAATTAAGCTCAGTAATTGTTTTTCAACACAAATTCAAAGTTGTTGGCTTAGCTGCAGCAAATGAATTTTTCACAGTATCCCCATAATCATTCTGATCACTATGGTACAATGATTATTAAACGGCTCATATAGATCAGAGGTTCAACTCCTGGTGTGGGCTTTGTCCTAATTAATACGTTTAAATCAATAGATAAACAGTATTAATGAATTCAAATGATTGTCATACACACGTTTCTGATAGAATTGCATACTGAGGAGTGTTTTTCTATGATGCAACCTAGGGAATGTATTTTAAATGATTATTTTTAGCATCTGAATTAATATCATGTTAGTTCCAGAAAACATAATGGATTTGAACTAAAATCTTGACACTTTGTTGGGAAACATCCTTCACTTTTAAGCAGTTCAGTCCTGCCTCAAGAGTAATGGCTGGGCCAGGCTCAGTGGCTCATGCTTGTAATCCCAGCACTTTGGGAGGCCCAGGCAGGAAAATTACCTGAGGTCCGGAGTTCAAGTCCAGCCTGGCCAGCATCGTGAAACCCTATTTCTACTAAAAAAAATATACAGAAATTAGTGGGGTGTGGTGGCACATGCCTATAATCCCAGTTACTCCAGAGGCTGAGGTAGGAGAATTGCTTGAGCCCAGGAGATAAAGGTTGCACTGAACCAAGAACACACCACTGCACTCCAGCCTGGCTGAAAGAGTGAGACCCAATCTCTAAAAAAAAAAAAAAAAAAAGCCTGTGGGCTGTGTTTGTTGACTGTCCTTCCATAATGCGTGTGCAAGTGCGTGTGTGCGAGTGTGTGTGCACACCCGTGTGCACTTGCGTGTGTTGTTTTTCAAAACTCGGCTTTGCTTTAGAATTACTTGGTATATTTGTTGAAAGTATGCATTTCTTTTTTGAGTTTTATTTATTTTTAATTGACAAATAATGATTGCACATATGTATAGGAAATAATAGGATGTTTCCATAAATGCATGCATTTTGTAATGATCAAATCAGAATGAGCATATTCATTAACTCAAAAATCTATCATTTGTCTGTGGTGAGAGCATTCAAAACCTTCTCTTCTAGCTATTTTGAAATATACAATACATTATCATTAACTATAGTCCCTCTACTATGCAAATGAGACTGGTAACTTATTCATCCTGTCTAACGATCACTTTGTACCCTTTGACCCAAGCGTCCCCTTTCCCTTCCTGTCCCTCCTTGACCCTCCCTGACCCAGCCTCTGGTAACCTCTATTCTATACTCTACTTCTATGAGTTGATTCTATGAAATCAACTTTTTTTAGATTACACATATGAGTGAGATCAGATGGTATTTGTCTCTCTGTGCCTGGCTTATTTCTGAGCCCGTCCCCAGGCCTCTGACAGAGAACACCAAAATCTGAATTTTAAGTCTCTCTGGGTGATTGTGATGTACACTGAATATGACTTCATTACCCCTGTGGAAAGAGTCCTAGTCCTAGCTTTAGCATCCCTTGCTGCATATACTTGAACAAGGTCTCTGATTTCCCCAGAATTCATTTCCACAAGTAATATGGTGTGTGCAATAATGTATATTCTGCTTATTTCATAGGATTGTTAAGAGGATCAAGTGGGGAAAATGAATAAAAAGAATAGAAGGGCCCAGTGACTACTACTATCGTTTTTCCTTACAGGCCTAGAGCTTCTCCAGACTTAAGGTTGGGTTCATAACTGGGGTAGAGTAGACTAATCTACAGAAAGGAGTCTCATCTGGTGACCAGGTAGACAGAAGATGTGTCAGAAATCCTTTTTCTGTAGAGAGTATATCCTATATAGAAATAATTTATGTGTATGTTATTTCATTTTTCTAACTGAAATATATATTCTGAGATAGAAAAAGGTTTATTGCTACATGATTTTCCTAGACTTTCCAGGTATAAGCAACCCTTCCAAAGCATCATCTTTGGGTAGTCCATTTTTCTTCCCTTTGCAGGGCTTCCTGGCTGGACTTCATATTCTCATGTGTTGTGTGGTCTTTGAAAGAACAAAGGGCAATCCTTTCTCATGGGAAAGCCTAAGCTACTTCAAAAGGATTGCTTTTAATGTTCCTCATATTCCCTATGAGATTTTATTTGCTGTATGGAGTTTACTAAAAGAAATAAAATGTGTCTTAAAATCAAACCCTGCCTCATTTTATGAATAAGGAAGATAATACTAGGAGAGAAAACTGATTATTCCAAAGTCACAAATGGATTAATAGAGCTGTGGTTAGAAATAATAACTCTTAGTTCTAAGTCAAGGGTTCTTTTATGTTGCTTTATACTATACTCAAGTAACCTCAAGTAATGTTGGAATCTGTGAATTATAAAGACTTTCCCTCTAAGACACACACATACACACACATAAACAATCTCAGGTGAATAAATTGTGAGGATTATTTTTAAAAATAAAATTTAAGGTAGAAGCTGTCATATTAAAACCTGAAATTTTACATTTTGTTGCTAATGCACACTATCTGAAACACCTCTGTCCTTTGCTTTATTATCAATAATATTGGATATGCATCTGACATTTAAGCATTAAAAAATTCTTTTCTCACTCTCTTTCCATAGTTTCTTGCCTATGAGTAAGTGAAAAAACAGACATTGGGGCCTGCTGGAGGGTGAAGAATGAGAGAAGAGAGAGGATTGGGAAAAATAACTAATAGATACCAGGCTTAATACCTGAGTGACGAAATAATCTGTACAACAAACCTCCATGTCACACGTTTATCTACATAACAAACCTACATATGCATCCCTGAACTTAAAAGTTAAAAAAAAGAAAAAAAAAAAAAGGAATACGCAAAACCAGGTTATGATGGTTGGAAATAAGTACCTGAATTACTTGTCTTTAGCTTTATCTCATATTCAGAAAACTTTAGTCTGTCTTATATTCAGAAAGCTTTCAAAAATTTATATGAATTCTTACATTCTTCCTTTACTAACCACTAGGATCAAACTAATTAGCTCTCAAAAATAAAATTGCTACCTGAAGTATTAGGTGATCTCAATAAATGTATTAATCAAATTTTCATATATTTAACCATATATTAAACTAATAAGACAGCTCATCATTTTAAAAAAACTAACAAATCAACAAACGAAGTGAGTGACCCAAATTTGCAAAGTGAAGGATCTTCCTCTAACTGCTAAGTTGCATTGGTTTCGGTATGATAAAGACAAGGAAGCTTTAGTATGTGGAATGAGAAGAAGTGGTTTTTCAGCTCTTTTGCTGTAAAAAGAAGATGCTAAAGTTGGCTCAAAAAAATACAAGATAAGGTAGAATTGCCTTTAGCTTTGAAGTCATTTAGCTAATTAAGTGCATTTAAGTCACTTAATTAATTAATCTGGACAATTTTAGGATCTAAATAATCATGCACATCAACAGTGTATTTATACTGCAAAATAAAATTAGGCTAAACCAGCTTATTTTGCCAAAATAGACTGAAATTGTTACTTTGCGTGTGTGTGTGTGTGTGTGTGTGTGTTTGTGTGTGTGTGTGTATGTGTCATTTCAACTTCACATCTAAAAATTAAGACTTAAAATGCTTTTAAAACCCAAAGCTACAAAAGTTAATATTTATTTTCTTTGCCTGCATTAACACTACATATACAGTTTTTACCAACTCAATATCCTTATTATTTACCTATGTATATTTATGCATGTATATATTTTCAAATTTCTAAATTTTACCCACAGTATGAATCAAACTCTGCCTTTGCTGTAACTTTGTAAGAACAAAAACATTACTGACCCTTTCTCAATATAATTCCACACATAATATGTGAGAAACAAATAGCTTTTTTTTTTTTTTTTTTTGAGACAGAGTTTCACTCTTGTTACCCAGGCTGGAGTGCAATGGCGCGATCTCGGCTCACCGCAACCTCCGCCTCCTGGGCTCAGGCAATTCTCCTGCCTCAGCCTCCCGAGTAGCCTGGATTAGAGGCATGCACCACCATGCCCAGCTAATTTTTTTTATTTTTAGTAGAGACGGGGTTTCACCATGTTGACCGGGATGGTCTCGATCTCTTGACCTCGTGATCCACCCGCCTCGGCCTCCCAAAGTGCTGGGATTACAGGCGTGAGCCACCGTGCCCGGCCCTACAAATTGCTTTTTTTCTTCTTATTTGCCCAGAATAAAAATACTATTTCTGCCTTAGAGGGTACATAGGTGTCTTTAACATATTTTTCTAAAATCAGTATTTTTGGGTAACATGACTCACCGGTGAAGTCACATAATTTTATCTGAAATAAATCTAGATATCCATCTTGATTCATTCTTTATAAAAGACATTTTCATAATCCTTATATATGTAGCAACAGAGGCTGCAGTCCCACATTGAGTTAGGGGTGGGAATGCAAAATGGGCTTGCATTTTAGTCTTTCAAATTGGGGGAAAAATCTTTCTTTCATTTCTCTATTTTTTTTTCTTTTCTTTTATCTTTCTTTCTTTTCTTCCTGGCTTCCTGTATTACATGCTTCCTGTCTTTCTCTCCTCTCTCTCCCTTTCCTCTCTTCTCTCTCTCTCTCTTTCAATTCTTACCGTAATATGGCAATGTATGGCACCAATCTCAAGAATAAATGTTCTAAGCAGACCTAATCAGTAGGATGGAGACATCATTATTGTTATCTGGAGATAGAGGGTAGGGGGATAATTATTGCCTGTAAAGTGTCATAAGGGAACACCTTGGGATACTAGAAATATGTATATCTTTATCTGAAGTATTGTCACATAACTGTACTCCCATAGAGAAATTCCTTGAGCTGGACACTATAAATTAGGACATTTTAAAACACACTTTATTTTGTGAATGTTTTGGCTCAGTGACAAAGAACAAAATAGTGTGGTGCCCCGAGGTGGGATTTTACCTATAATGAGGTGAAGGGTGACCATTAGCAGCACAATTCAGGATGATCTCAGATTTTGATAAATCCAAAGGAAAAATGACATCATGTGGCTCTTGAGTAAAAACAGGACGGCTCAAAAGACCATCACCTGGGGGAAAAAAAAGAATAAATCACATGAAAAAACATTGCCCTGTTTTGAATGCAAGTCTATATGAAATATCAAGTCAACACACATATTTAAAATCATTTTATTTTAAAACAATATCAAACTCAAAGAAAAAAGTTATAAAATTGAAAAAAGAATTTTTTTCTCTTGGAACTCAATCCCCTATTACCCAAATAAATTGGTTTCTATTTCCAACAAAGGGCACAACCCCTCAAAACCCAACAATATCAAGAAGTTAACATTGATTCAGCACTAAGTATCTAATCTTCAATTCCCATTACCCATTTTTTTCTAATAAAATACATTTTTGTAGTTTTGCTTTTGTTGTAGACATTGTCTCACTCTGTCACCCAAGCTAGAGCGCAGCAGTGTGATCACATCTCACTGCAGCCTCTAACTCCTGGGCTCAAGTGATCCTCCCATCTCAGCCTCAGGGGATTTAAGCAAACTTCTGTGTCCTTGTTATTAAAATAGATGCAACATCTAGATCAGATGGTTGTTTTGTGATTTAATAATATATTGTTTATAAAATATGTCACATTGTGCCTTATAACAAGTAAATATATAGTCATCAAATTATGACATTCATCATCATCATTATTACAGAGAAGGAAATTGAAACCCAGGAAGTTGAATCATCTTTTCCAAATTTGCCAACTGTCTTAAGATAGAGCAAGAAATTAAACTTCAGTTTCTTGATTCCCTCTCCACTGTTTTCACCATCCACTCAGATCTGCTACCATCTCCTTAGTCTTCTAAAATATTTGCAATTGGGTAAAATTAGTTATTTTATTAACCTCATCTTAAAATTAAAATTTTGGTACTTTTTATCACTGACCTAGAAGTGTAGATAAATAGAGGTTATAATTCTAGCCTTGTCAGTTACTGGCTCCCCAATGCTGGACAAGTTACTTTACCACCCTTGTTCTCTGATTTCTCAGCTGTTAAAGGAGGATTCTATGTCTTACATCTCAGTGTTGCGTAAATGATGATTGAGAAAGAGGATTGAAGATGCTTTACTGATCTTTCTGACATCAATGTCTAATGAAATGTGCAAGACATTATAAATGCAAATAACAAGCAAACATAAATTAATGATGCCTGAAAAAGAAAAGGAACATATTCTAACGCTACTGATTCGAAATCATTTAAAGAAAAAAAAACTTTGGAGTAAAAACAATCTGCTCAGGCTCAGAGAGGTGAAGGAGTTCTTGATTTCCTAATGTTGTCCTCACACCCCGTATTTACTGGTGAAATAACAGCATTCTGAGAAATCTCTTTATAACTTCCAAATGTGGAGATAAGCAAATTTGTATGTACACAGATGGAAGAGTCTTATCTTTTTCCTTTACCTCTTCCTGGCTGAAGAGCAATGAAAAGGACATCTGATAAAAAAAAAAAAAAAGGGTAGTGGGGAAACATGGGTAGTAAAGCTGACTATATTTAACAGACTAGTAATATCATGCCTATGCACTCAGAGGTGAAACCTCTGAAGCCCACTAGAAAAGTGATACATCTCCCAATGAACTATACTGATGCCTCTTCCAACAATCTTGTTGCAATTTATTAAAAAAGAAATCTCCGAATAGAGAGAAGGAACCAGATACCCTAAAAAGGCTGAACTTTCCTTGGCCCCATCATTCTCTCAGGCTACAAAATGTGGGTACTCATGATATATGCCATCTCCAAACTGGAGTTAATAAGAAAAAAAAAAACTGTTCTCAAATATAATAAAAAGAAAGTTCAAAAAATATATTTTCTCATTATGTAAAAAGTGAATTTTCTGTACACAGTTTCTCAAGTATGAACAGTAAGAAAAGAAATGGAATAGTAACTATGCAAATATACTGCAGCAATAAAAGAGTAAAACATGGCATGACCAAGACAGACAAAATACCCAATCTAGAAGAAAATATAACTCCACGAAACCTAGGGAATTTCTCAAAACTGTTTTATGCTATAGATAAGAACATGAGTTTTTAAAAATAGCATAACAATGGCAATATGAAAAAAATACATGGACAGTAAAACCAGATAAATTTGGAGACTGTGAACCTAAGGATACAAACTGTAACCCAGGCAGCATCAACAAATAACAAATAAATCAATTAGAATAGGCAAGTAACAAAACAGAAACCCACTGAAAGTAACATTACTGCTAGAATATTTTGAGATGATTGTAATTATCTTACATAATTTGAAAAAAGCGCAGATAATAAAACATTGAGGAGAAGGTAATGGATAAGAAACATAGATTAAAAACGAGTCAACATAAAAATCCTTTATGTCACCGAGTTAGAGAATCAAACACATGTATCAGTAAATATCACTAAGAAAAGTTACTATAAACAGAAAGAACATATTCCAGAAATATTTGAAAGAGGAGTACTCAACACCAAAGCATTTGCTGACTAAGTGACTAATATTCAAAGAACATCAGAAGGAAGCTTCTTCAAGAAGACTGGGCAGAAATAGCAAATTAAGTAAAAGAGTGAAAGGATGGGAACAGTGGCTCATGCCTGTAACCCCTGCACTTTGAGAAACTAAGACAGAAGGATCACTTGAGGCCAAGAGTCTGAGAACAGTCTGGGTACTATAGGAAGACCCTGTCTCTACCAAAAACCAAAAGAAAAAGAAATTAGCTGGGCATGGTGGTGGGTGCTTGTAGTCGCAGCTACTTGGGAGACGAGGTGGGAAAATCCCTTAAGCCCAGGAGTTTGAGGCTGCAGTAAACTATGATTACACTGCTGTACTGTGCCCTGGGTGACAGAGTAAGACCCCATCACACACAAATACGCACAGAAGAGTGCAAGAAAAAACTCAAAATAAGCTGGGATTTTAAACATTATCATTTTATACCAGAAGACAATGCAGAAAAGTCTATGAATATTCCAAATGAAAGGGTGATGTATTTTCACTAATGTATCTTTAAAGTATAATGGCATCCAACAGACACATCTGAACATTAAAAAAACTAATATAAAAAAGCTAAAATAAATAACATAGATGATTATTCTTAAAGAGATCACTTAATAATGAAATCCATTCATTTAAATATTAATCAATATACAGATCTTGAAATGAAGGGGGAATAATGGGGGACACAGAATACACTCAAACACAAAACTTACACTTAAGAACTCATTAGTTTTAGCTATAGAACAGAATATAAATGCCATAAGCTTGATAATATAAACAACAAGATAAAAAAATGAGGAGTGAGCAAGGGAATATAATTAGAAATGTATGAGTGCTAATGGCTTTCATAGCAAAAAGTCTATAGATAGATATATGTATACATATATATGTAATATTGTATTTACAAAGGTACTCTGACCTCGTAGCATAATTCATTGTATCTTTTAACCTTACAGAAATTATTTAGAAAAAAATTCTTTGTTGTCTCAAATCATTCATTACAAGTGCAAATTATTCATCATTTTTACTTTGTTTTATGTTAAAGAAACATCTGATTTTTTTTTAATGAAGAAAAGAGATGGGAAATAAATATGCTGTGATGATAACTTAATTTTTGATGGTGGGAATATGAATGAATTTTTTGCAGATCTCCATAAGAACTTTTTAAAATTTCCAACCCTGACCTCCTGCACAAAATAAGAAAACCTGGTTGAAATAATGCATACTAAACCATATGCATTATGCCAGGCACAAAGCTAGCATACAACAAATGCTAATTCAGTTGCTTTCCTTTACTTTCTCTCAGAGAAAAGTCTGGTTTAAACTTCATGTAGTCCAAATTGGGAGTATAACTTGCCTTAAGAATATCCAATATTTGTGAGAATGATTAGTGGTTTTCAAAAAAATATATACATACGCCAGTTGCCAAATTAAATACCTATGATGCCTTTTGTGAGATGCACATTTCTGTTCCCGTTTGATGTATGACAAACTTAACCCTAAAGACATTTTCTAACAAACTTCAGTTCATTTTGAAAGACACAGAAGTTTGGTCTTGTTGAATTATCATCAGTCACTTGATATCATTCATGTTTTTCATTTAAATTTGTTTGTTACCAAATTTTTAAAAGCTTGAATTTACAACACTTGATAAGTAAAATATCTAGTTTTCAATTAAATGTTTAATGTCTTTTGGTAAATTCTTGGATTTTCCTTATACTGTAATGAAATGATTAAATAACAGCAAGTCTTTATTGTTTTGTCTGTACTATCAGAAAGCAAGGACAACATTGGTTTTCTCTACAGGAACAGCTGAAAATGTGACAATATGACATCAAAAACAAGAAATCAAAATGCTTTTTCAAATACTTTTGTTTTAAGAATGTATTAGAGGATAAGAATCGTGTTGGCATTTTTGAGCCACTATAATAATTAGTGAGTAATTGTATTGAAGACACATACTACTATACAATCAACAATGAGTATAATATTACTCTCTACAAAATGTTTTATTTAAGAGGCTGGGCATGGTGGCTCACACCTGTAATACCCAGCCCTTTGGGAGGCCAAGGCGAACAGATTGCTTGAGTCTAGCAGTTCAAGACCCTAACTCAAAAAAAAAAAAAAAAAAAAAAAGTTTTATTTGACAGTAAGGTAAGAACTTTGCAATAGGTGGACACTGAAAAATAAATGCGTCTAAGTGATAATTAAATGAAAATCATACAATATTGTTGAAAATGCATATAGGGGTTCTGTCCTACCTTTCTTCTTCCATTATCTTCTATGGAATTAAAAACTTAACTGGATGATGTAATTGCAATATTAGATCTAACCTACCACTATCTAAAGTTCATTATCATTCCCTAAGTATTGAGAAGTTCTGATTGTAATGCAGTTACATTCTGGGATTTCTGAGTGGCCCGGGAACTATTTCATGGAGAAGTAGCTCTTAATCTATGGAGAGACTTAAAGGCATGTTTAATCTACTTAAAGCCGTTTCTTGAGCCATGGATAACTGGACGAGAATGTCTGTTATGTTCTTCTTAGGCTCTTGCATTTCTCTTGTCCAGTAATTTAGATTTTTTTTTTAATTTTTATTATTTATTTATTTATTTATTTATTTTGAGACAGAGTTTTGCACCGTTTCCTGGGCTGGAGTGCAGTGGCAAAATCTTGGCTCACTGCAACCTCTGCCTTCCAGGTTCAAGAAATTCTCCTAGCTCAGCCTTCCAAGTAGCTGGGATTACAGGCACCCACCAGCACACCCAGCTAATTTTTTTTTGTATTTTTAGTAGAGATAGGGTTTCACTATGATGGCTAGGCTGGTCTCCAACACCTGACCTTGTGATTCACCCGCCTTGGCTTACCAAAGTGCTGGGATTACAGGTGTGAGCCACCACACCCAGCAATTTATAAATAATATTAAGCAATTTATAAATAATATTAAGCTGGTTGCTTAAGCAGAGACATGGATGTACATAACTCTTAGAATACCCATTGTCCATAAAACTCATGAAGAGGTAAAGAATTTCAGTCTACACAAAGGCAGAAATTGAGATAAACAGATGATGGGGAAGAGGCGTGAAACAGAATGATGGAGAGAATGAGTAATTTAGAGAAGAGAGGCTTTATTTTCTGAATTTTTAGATCCTTGGTTTCAGTTTCTAGTGAGATCTGCCTCCAGGTTACATGAACCACCAACTGTATGGTTTCTGCTTCTTCCAACGAAAACAGCCTTGAGAAAGACAGCTTTAAATAAACCATAGAAAGAGACCAGTATTTGGCTGCTTTTCTTCTCTCCAGAACTACAAAAGTGCAGACAACCTGGGCTTTAGAGGAAATCATAACGGCAAACTCACATACATTAGAAAGCCCATATCTAAAAGGACACAGAACTAAAATTCATATTATTTATGGTTCTACTTGAATCACATCGTATGAGTCTGGGCAAATTTCAAATTTCACAGAGGGATAAGACTAGAGACCTCCAAGATCGTACTCAGATGTAAAGTACCTGAGATCTTTCTGGGTTAGAATTTTGTCTCTACCAATATATGTACCCACCCAGGCTCCTGGAACCTCCAGAATGTCTTCTGCTGCAGAAGTCTAATTTGCAAAACTGTTCCAATGCCTGTGAGGATTTCCCATTTGTATGTGTTGTGCCATTGCCTACTGTTTAGGCAACTGATGAAAGGGGAACCTGGAAGTCAGAGGGTCCGTAGTGAGTCATATTTGCATTGAATGGCAGGGCCAGGCCTCCAGGGAATGTGAGGGTCACTGAGAAAGTATCCCATGCCTAAAAGGAAAGTGTCATTAAAATAAAAAACACCATGCCAGGTCAAGAGAGATACCAAGGAAGTAAGAAAATGTTTTATATATTAGTACCTTTAATAGCAATTTTTTTCTGCCTTTTGGACAAGGGGCCTCACATGTTCATTTTGTACTGGGGTCTGCAAATTATGCAGTTGAACATGACTAAAACTTGCAGACATTAAATAATTAGCTCAAAATGACATCCCAAGTAATAGTCCAGAGCTAGTATTCAAATCCAGGTTTGACTCCAAGACCAGAGTGATACAAATTATATATCCACTGAAGTTTTACATACTTTCAGTACTGAAAATGTTCTACCCTCCCTGTCTCCCTGGCTTTACTTTTCTTCTGTTATCAAGCCTCTACCTTAGTTTTTCAAACTTATACTCTTAAATCTGTAGAGTTTAACCTAGACTTAACTCACTTAATATCTTTCTCGGAATGCAGGTTCTATAAAGTTTTGAACCTTTTTTTTTCCTTCCTTCCTTCCTTCCTTTTCCTTCCTTCCTTCCTTCTTCCCTCCTTCCTTCCTTCAGTCCCTCCCTTCTTCCCTCCTTCCTTCCTTCTCCCTTCCCCTGCCATATGTATCTAATTTTACCAATTTTCTTTAGACTTCCAGGAAAGTCACAAAGTTTTAAAACAGAAAAAATACTTAGAGAAATGTTCACCTAATTTACAGAAAAAAAGGGAAAAAGTAATTTTAGAGGGGTCAAGTGTTCTACTTAAGAATTACAGGCAGATCTGAATTTTAAATCAGAAGACCAAGCTCTGAACTGAGATCTCACTGCCTGTTTTGTTTAGCTTTTGAGGGGTTTTATGCAGTGAAGATATGTCAGACTTATTTTTTAGGAGAAAAAAAGGAAAAAAATAAACTTTGTCAGCTATGTTCAAAAATAAAGATGATAAAGCTAGAGTTTTCAAAATAGTTATGAAATTATCATACTAGTCTTAGTAGAGAGATGTATCTTACTAAGGTTGTGGGAGCAAGAATTGAAAGCAAAGATGAAAGGTGGTTTCAGTTAACTGAATGTGGGAGGATGATTAAAGGGAAAGGAAACATTAAGGACTGCCTGGAGATTTGTTGTTTTTTGAAACAGAGGAATAAGGAAAAGAGAAAAGTTTGTACTAGAAGAAACACTAATTCAGATACAAAGACTGATTTTGATGGGTCCCGGGGCAAACAGGTTTAACTATCCAACCAACAGCTGGAGACACTGATGTTGTTCAATATTAAGGGCTGTATGGGAGACTGATTTTTGATTTGTTGCCTTTTAAATTGTAATGCAAATAAATTTTTATTGTAATAATTACTTGATCATACTACTTTCAACAATTGCATTTGGAGCCATTTCAGAAGTATATGTTCAAAATAGCTTGAACATCAAGCATCAGTTAGATTCAAGCCATTGAAATCAGCGCTCATTTAACAAGATCCAAAGCTGGACTGCATCTCTGGACTGGACACTCAGTGGCATCTTACTCTACTTATCACCAAAGAAGTGAAGAAGAGGAGCTGGACAGTCACCAGACAGTAGTCGTGCTTATTATTTCTTTCATGCAGTAGACATTTGAGAAGACAATTCTTAATGCAAAAGCTGCTTTTAACATAAAAGAGTCATTCTGGTTATTTTCATGTTACTCTAGCAGAATGAACTAATGGCATACACATGTTGTAAAGTTGATGATCTGCAGTATTTCAGTCCAGTCAGACATCTATGGTGACCTTGTAATTTGAGGCTAAGCATTAAAACTGTCTGAAATGTATATGCCATATTGGAAGTGGCATGCAGATCATAAAGTAAATTATAATAAGAGTTCATTAGCATATATTTGACATTCTGTTGATCTCTTTAGGTTAAAGCCTGACCAAAATAAAATTCTACATCATTGCTTATCTAGATATTGCCAGCACATAGTGATAAATCCAACATAAGTAAACTCAACCAACTTTTACTAGCTCTAACTCTGTGTTGAACCTTCTTTATGCACTGACAATGTAAAAATAAATAAGTGAATTTCATTCAAGAAGCCGGCACTCAAGTAAGAATAATTTGGGAAGTGCCAGGAATAAAGTTAAAGTTGTACATGAATTATCTTCTTTGGTCCTTGCAAGAACTCTGTGAGGCAGATTCTAATATTTCCATTTTAAAGATGAAGAAAGGTTTAGACAATGGAAGTAATTTGCTCAACATCAAATAGCTAAAGAGTGGTGAGGCTTAATTTTGAATCTAAGCAAACTGACCCAGAACTCATACTCTGAATCACTATGATGTATACTCCAGAAAGGGAAGCCACCAAGAGAACAATTAACGAACTACAATATTACAGGATAAGTATCACACCAAAAGTATAAATATAATTTCAAAGGAGCCTAGAAGGGGAAGCAATTAATTATACCCAGATGTTTTGGAAGAATGCCAAAAGAGGCAACATTTGAGCTATGAGTAAAAGAATAAAAATAAGAATGCCAAAGAAGCAAAAGTTATAGTCAGAAAGTTCTAAGAAGAAGAATAGCTT